ACAAGAATAAGCCTAGAAATTTCTCTAAACCAAAATTTTTTTCGCCTATTCTATCTGCTAAGGAATAAAGCTGAACAAGGTGTCAGTGTTTGTGTGGACAGTATTGCTTGCCTTTCTCAGATTATGACATGGAAATGTTTCTAATTGTCTATCTCCAAGTGATTCATACAAGTTTTTAATTATATATAACCAAATTTTAGCCACCTTTTGTACTTGGCTGTATATAAAACATGAGATTTTGTGGAAGTGGGTTGACCTCGTTGTCGCAACTTAGTCTTGTTGTCAGGGCGACTTAGTACAACGCACCTAGACCTCAGTCGTCTGCCCTAGTTGTTGTCATGGTTTCCAGCATTATACAGTGGACTTGGTACATTCGCAAACGTTTCGCCGGCATCGTAGTCGGAACCATCAGTGAGTGCTGCCATTCTCCGCACCAAGCTACGAACTCGTCAAAGAGACGAGTGAGATCTCAGCTGGCCACCTTTTTTGGTTTCGGTTTTTCGGTGATTGTTCGTACAAATTCAACAAACAAAAGTCCAAGGCAACCCTCCTGCCTCGTCTCAAATTCTGGTCAAGTCTTCTGCCAACATCTTAGCTTTGGCCACAGAATCCCGTCGCCAAAGTGGCAAACAAAGTCAATTTAATTGCTCATAGGTAATTTCATCCCTAAATGTGAAAAGATACTTTGCTTCGAGGACTCCTCTAATAAATTCATGATATTGTACCTTTTTTCAATTTGCTAATGAAGATTCTATATCCTACACAAATGTAGGCTTTAGCATACATAGTAATCCGTAGTCTATAGTATGCATGATAATTTCCAGAGTCGGACCGTGCACCGAGGCTCTTCCTATAAGTCCTATCAGAGTCTCCCTCTCACCGCGTTAGATCCGTTTCCTATCTCCCTGGTTCAGGCATTCCATTTGACCCTATCTGTGCTACTTGAGGCGTTATTTCCCACACTCTGCCAAAGTCGTTGGTGCCACGTATACTCCCGCCTCGCTTAGTAGGCCAACAAAGTCTGGATTCTTGTGCCCGATCAGAGACTAACTTGAGGCTATAGATCCCAAATAATTGTCACCGTCAAGTCTTTGCCTCATGGATCACGTCTATGATCAAACATGTCTACTGTTTGTCAACGAGCTCTAGAACTTGCCGCATCTATCGTGCTTCTATCCATAATGCATATATAATCTGGTGCCTTGTATCGAGCATATGCTCAGCCATTCTTGGTTTCTACACTCGAACAACTTCGCGGGCGGGTTAGTTGAGATAACCTATCATGTGTTAGTCGACATCTTCCCCACAGACGCCACTGCATGAGAGCAAAGCTTTAAAACCACACATGAACCCCAAATGGCTAGGGAGGTTCCGTCCCTATCTTTTTCTCTGAGACCCATTTTAAACTTTCTTCCCTCCAAACTTGTTCTTAAAATTAAATTCAGCTAAGCAATGATCTCGTTTACTATTAGCAAAGAAGTCCCTACTTAAAGCAACTTGTTTAGAGCCCAAAGACGTACATGTACATTGTCCCCTAAGATAGGGGTTTCATGGTAGTAGAATTCGAAACTCTACTTGGCTTTGGCTACAAAATAGAGAAGAAAA